GGGCCTTGTGCTTGCTAGGCAAGCGCTCTACCACCGAACTAAATCCCCAACCCCTAGCCCAGACCTTTAATCCCAGCACTTAGAAACTGGAAATCAAGGCAGGCAGAGCTCTGTGAGTTTGAGGCCAGTCTGGTCTACATAGTGAATTCCAGGTCAGCCAGGGCTACACAGTGAGACCCTCTCTCAAAATAAAACAAAGTGTTGGTATACAGCTTTGTGGAGCCTAAATTGTGAGAGTTGATCCCCAATGCTGCAAAATAAACAAAGAAACAAATTCTTAACAGATTCCTTAGCATCCTGAGAAATTTAAAACTTAACACTTGGCCTTAGCTATAGGGGCCTGGCATCCAAGCACAGTTTAATATTGTTAACCCAGCCTCTGGCCAAGTTATTCATTCCTTTTAACTCTGCTTCCTACCCTAGCTGAATCTAAGCCTTTCCAAAGCCCCCTGCCAGTCAGGTACACCTGCTTTTTTTGGGGGGGCGGGGTGTCTTGGAACTCCCTCTGTAGATCAGAGATCTGCCTGCCTCTGCCTCCTGAGTGCTGGGATTAAAGACGTGTGCCCCCACCGCCCGGCGTCGGGTGCACCTGCACCACACATTCACCACAGCCCAGGCAGGACGCTGTGCCTAGCTCCGCCCCCACCTCCGTCATCCAGGCCACTCACCCACGTCTGGGTCTGGGTCCTTTGCTACCATATGCCTCGGGGATGTTGTATTTCTGGGCAAACGCCTTCACCCTGTTCAGGTCCCTCGCAGCCACTGCTACCACCTGGTGTCAGAGTCAAAGGCTTGAGGTGGGACCATTGTAGAGATAAAGGAGGTGGGAGGCAAGCATGGGAAGAGCTGAAACAGGGAGGCCAGAGCCTCCTCCACGATGACTAGGGGAAGAGATTCCTGTCTGGAAGGAGGAGCAGGTGGATGGTGGAAAAGCCAGACGTATGCTGTGCCCGGGCTCAGGCCAGCCTCGGCTACAGAAGAGTCTAAGACCATCCTGGGTACATGGCAAGACTCTGTCTGAATAAGACGGGAAAGGAGGGCCCAGTCCCTGACTGCGCAATAGCGTCTCCTCCCTGCAGCTACGATCCACCTCTGCAGACCTCGAGCTGGGATGAAGAGGAGCGAGCTGAAAACAAGTCCCTTCTCTCAGAGTCGCCCGCCGGCCACTGGCGATTAGGCCAGCTGACATGAGGCCCCAGCCCAGCGCCATGCTCACCACTGCCTGGATGTCTTCCGTCTGAGGAGCCCCCCCACCCCCCAGGCTATTAAAGACAGAGCGCTCTGCGGGGCTGGAGGCGGCCAACGGAGCCCTGCAGTGCTAGGCTGGACCTTCAGAGGGGGCAGGACTTCACCTCTGCGGGTCTTGACTGAGACTTTGACCTTTAGGGACAGAACTGAAGAGTTGTCAGAGAGAGAAGCAGGCATTTCTCCAATGCTGGGCTCTGCCTCTCTCTCTCTCTCTCTCTCTCTCTCTCTCTCTCTCTCTCTCTCTCCAGTGCTTTACTCTGTTGCCCAGGGTGGCCTGGAATTACCCAGGCTGCTGACCTCAACTCAGGGCAATCCTCCTGCCTCAGCTTCCTGAGTGCAGGGATTACAGACATACACCACTATACCTGTTTTTCAGATGTCCTATCATTTTTTTTGTTTTGAAACAGGGTCTTGATATTGCTAGAAATTAGTCTGGGGTCTCAAGAATATGACCACAGGATCCAAAGTATTTTTGGCGAGGCGAACTCTGTTGACTGGGGCATAGTTGTGCCCAATCAAGCAGCAAACACTCCCAGCAGGCACTCACTGAGTTCGTTTCTGTTGTCTAAATGTGTGTTCGTTTCATTTACATTCCCTGACATAGGGATCACAGGCTATGCTGGAAATAATCCTCTTGCCTCAGCTTCCCAAGCCTGACAGGCCTGGACCACAGGGGCTCCCGCTTCTTACGACTCCCAGAGTTAGGGACAGAATCCTCTTCCATGTCCCTCTGTGCTTCTTCCTGGCTCAGGACTGGGAGGTCACATTTCTGTTCTGGAAAACGGAATTACCCACAGTTTCCATTTACAGGAAATTCTTAAGAGAATTAACGGAGTTCTGTGGACTACTATGTAAAATATAAAAACTTATTCTCAACTGTTGGCCAAGTCCACCTTCAGCAAGACGATACCCAGTTTCCCTTGCCTTGTAGACATTTATTTCAGACCTGGGTAGCTGGGGGCTGGAGAAGATGGCTCAGTAGTTTAGGGCATGTGCTGCTCTTGAGGAGGACCCGAGTTTGGTTCCCAGCGTCCACATTGGGCAGCTCACAATCACCTGTAACTCCAGCTCCTCTCCGAATTCTGTGGGCACCTGTACTCCTGTGGTATACACACACAGACACATACACACGGGGAACTAAAAATAAACCTCTTTTTAAAAGGTAGGACTTGGTGGCACACACCTTTAGTCCCAGCACTTGGGATGCAGAGGCAGATGGATCTCTGTGGGAAGTGGTCTACAAATTTCCAAGCAAGCCAGAGCTGCATAGAGACAGCCTGTCTCAAAAACAAACAAACAGGCAGTGAAGGTTGCCAAGGGAGGGAGAAGTGCATTTTCCCAGCAGCGTGCTACTGTGCTGTATGGTGTGTGTGTGTGTTTGTTTTTTTCTCTCTGAATCATTATTATTATTGTTATTTTCTTTAAAGATTTATTTATTTATTAGGTATACAGTGTTCTGCCTGCGTGCCAGAAGAGGGCGCCACCATGTGGTTGCTAGGAATTGAACTCAGAACCTCTGGAAGAACAGCCAGTGCTCTTAACCTCTGAGCCATCTCTCCAGCCCTATTATTGTTATTATTTATTTATTTATTTTTTGGTTTTTCGAGACAGGGTTTCTCTGTGTAGCTTTGTGCCTTTCCTGGATCTCGCTCTGTAGCCCAGGCTGGCCTCGAACTCAGAGATCCGCCTGCCTCTGCCTCCCGAGTGCTGGGATTAAAGGCGCGTGCCCCCCCCACACACACCTGGCTACTCTGAATCATTATGTGGTACCATCTTGGAGAACAATGCCTTCGCCCAGAAGCCGCAGTCTGTGCTAACGGAACTACCTGCACCCCCTGGTAGACAGAAGAGGCGCCAGTCACCAGACTGGTTCCTACGATTCCGCCATTACCCCTCCCTGCGCAACCCCAACTGCAGGTGATCTTGAGAGGTGCTAAAGAATACGGACAGTGGAAGCTTAGGTGAGATGCTCTACGATGTGGTTCCTGGGAGACTGTCGTCTGCGTGTGATATGGTGAGACTCGGCGGTGCAGCTGTTGTGTGGGGAGGGGGGTGGGGTGCCCTTACATAAGTGATGACCCTTTCCATACACTCATTCATCAAAGAATGTCCCCATTCCAGAGGAGGACAAAGCACCACAGGTGGCCACCATCATGGTGTTCTCATGACCAACAGGAGTGGAAAGCTGTATGGGAATGGGCTTTGGGGAGCAGATTCTCCCACTGGCAAAATCCAGACTGGATGTTGGTGCAGATG